GGGTCGCACGAACCTTTCCCAGGGGGTCGCCTAAGACAATCATAAAACACATATACTCTACAGTTAAGAGGTAGCAGCGAGAATGATTTTGTTAAGGGTCGCCACAACGTGAGGAACTGTTTAAGAGGGACGCGGCATTAGGAAGGTTGGGGAACCACTGCTCTAGCACTAATGAAATGTTGTCAAATTTAAACTAATAAATCAAGGCTGCTTTGAACTAATAAAAATGTTATCAAATTCATTCTAATCAAGCAGGGCTGCCTTGAAGCCAATGAAATGTTTTCAAATTCAAACTTGAACTAATACAAAATGTTATAAAATTCAATCCAGTTAATCCGGGCCGCACTTGAAACGAATAAAATGTGATCAAATTTAAATCAGTTGATCAAGGCGCCTAGAAGTAATGAAATGTTATCAACGCTAAACAAGATAATCAAGGCTGCGTCAATTACAAGAGAGATTTGATGGTAAAATGTCAGTTTATATGTGTGCATTATGTGTATGCAATTCTTTAAGGAGCATTTGAATGAATAAAAAAAAAAAGTTAAATTATCTATAGAAAAAGTTCGTAACTAAGTTTTCATTTAATCTCATTACTTTAACCAATAATAATAAGAAGAAGAAGAATAAATGAAGCGTACCGTTTTCTGTATTTTTGTTTCGCAGGATTGCAACCCCATGCATCCCAGGGCCCCCAACTTCCATTTACTGAAAAAATTATTTTGGAGTAAATTCATATTACAATCTGACCATAAAAGTATCAACTATACGCAAACGGTTAATGATGAAAAACAATAATCAATGCTACAAACGAACAATAACCCATGGTTACAAACGAACGATAACTTAAGTTATACGTGAGCGGTAACCTATGATATTAAGTGAACGATGAGCCATGTTGCAAGTGACCGATGGCCTAAAAGGTTAAAGGTGAGGGATAAACTTTGTTTACAAATGAAAGCATTTAGAGCGTGCTGTGCATCAAACCTTTGATGTTGGCTACATTCCTCTTGCCGTCCTTTGGAATATCCGTTTTTATTTATTTTTTTAAATAATAATTTTGGGGTTCCGTTTCCCCAGGATTTTTCCCCCATACCATGGCGTTTGACATTATCGAAACATCGCATCATACATAACGAGGTAACCCTTCTTGCTCCCTTTGATTGGCATGTGTTCCCTGGTGTCGGCAACGTGTCGGGTCCGCCTTCTTGGAGTCGAGGTTGAAACAACAAAACTCCTTTGAATGCTCCACCCAGTTAATTCGGTTTCGTACTTTTTTCCTTTTTTTTGTAAAGCTTTGAATGCTTCTTTTAATTTAAAAAAAAGGATAATTTGCAAAAACTTCGTATTTTTTTTTCAATCATTGAACATAAAAAACTCAGTTTCATCACAACCATTTAGGACATCTATTGAATTTATGCTTTTTTAGGGGGTTGAGGGGGGATTATTATCCAGCTGCTTACAATGCAACAATGGACTTGACCTAGATCGAAGTCCTCTTACCATTCTACGGTGTTCATGAAAAACTTAAAAAAAAAATTAATTGGTTAAAAAATCAAAACAAAGTAATTTTTTTTTTTTTTTGGTGGTACAAGATGTCCCCACGTTTTAGTTATCTCTCACCTGCCCCAACATGATCACATTTTGTCAAACACGTCGACTCACTTGAAGTTTAAAAACAAATAAGACAAAATTATCGTTCATTTAACGATGACCTACCCACGCGTAAGGTTCTCGTGTCCTCGTCGATTTTTTTGTCTCCGTCATTATCTGAAAAATTTAATATTTTTAAGAAAAAAATTAGTTTTCTTTTTTTTAAATCTCCTCCAGTGCACGGCTCGCGTCTTGCGATCGACGCTAACATTTAAAAAAAAAAAGTTTTATGACTTCCATTGACACGGTTACCGCAAATTTGATCGAAAGAAATTCCGTCAACGGTAAATTTGATCGAAAGAAATTCCGTTAACGGTAAATTTGATCGACGGAAATTTTTTTCGAACGAAAATTTGGTCGAATCTTTTTTTTTTTTTTTTTTTTTTTTTTTTTGTTTTAAACTTTAAAATTTTTTTTAATTTTTTTTTTT